GGACTTCATACACCTCAGTCCCCCCCCCTGTGAACATGGGTGCTGAAAAATCCGTAAAACTAATTTTATTTAAATGTGTATTGTTCGCGTAAATATAAGAAATCATTATGTTATTAAAGTTGTATAACAAATAACATACTTTTGTAAATTATAATCAAAACTATTTAATCAAACGTAGTCAAATATTTCAGGGTAATTAATTAAATGAAATTAATACAGTATTGTTATTAATTTATAATAAAACTAGATTGGAATTATGAAATGATTTATGTGTAAACGCTGGTGTTTGTAACTTAACATTTTGTAAAGCTTCCAACGTCTTCGATAGATGGCGTTGGCTTCGAATTAGAAGTCGTTAGCGTTTGGCTTCCGCAATTTGAATAGGTCTATGCGATTTATTTTCAATAAACGAGATCGAATCGGGGATCGACTCCGAGATCAGTACGCAGTTGTGGTCTTTTATTTAAAATTCCCGCTTGCTACAGTTCAGGTCAACTTAATCTCCCCCAAATACCACCCGGTAACTAAACATTGGCCCATACGAGCCGGATCGTTTGGACAGGCCTTTTGAGTTCAAGGCGGCCACCGCTGGCCCGCTTCTCCGTGTACTTGTAGTGGATCGCTACAGAGAGGTACACGAGTCCTCCGTACCAGCGGCGACAGCTTCACCCAGCATAGGCGGTGAGCTGAGCCAGCTTTAGCGGATTAGTTCAAGGAGTGGCCACCAGAGGGCGCCACTCTCAGATCAACACCCCAGACGACGCAGCAAGGTGACGCAGGCGCAGCCATCACACGACGTCACAGAGGACGTCACGCGCAGTACAGCTGGCAGCCACAGGGGGCGCCACTTGCATGTTCAAAGGTGTTTGTGTGAAGTACAGTTTCGTGAGTAAAATTTGTTTATATACATCGTCCACAAATCGAGTGAATTTGAACTCTATTCTAACGTCAATTTAAACTTTGAAAAGGTGAAGAACTATCTTGGACTTGTAAAATTTTAATGACAATTTTAGACTTAATTTATTTTAGTATTTGTCAATTTGTGTGCATGTTAATATTAGGACTTAGAATAATTTAAAGAAAACGGGGGAACGGGGAACCTACGCCCGATTTCTATCAGATTTTGTGTGCTTCCAAACACTTGTAAAATTTTCAAAGGTGTCTTGATACTTGTATTATTTCTAGGATTTCTATTTTGCCAACATAGATTTGAAATACTTTGTTTTAAATAAGTTTTATCAACTTTACATTGTTATTTACAAGGTTAAATCAAATTGAAATCAATTTAGATACATTTTATTTATCTACAAAATCAAATAAATAATAAAATGGAAGGATTAATTAATGTATTAAAAGATCAACAAAATGTTATAACAAAGGGACTAACTAATTTTAAAAAATGTGGTAAAGATAGGTTAACCATAGAGTATGTAGAAACAAGACAAGAATTATTAGAAAAGGATTGGGCACTGTTTAAAGAAAATAATACTAAGTTATACGAACGTTTCAAAGCAGAAGATATATCACAAAGGGTTGTTGATATTTATGATGCTACAGAGGATACTTATATTGTTTACAAAAGCTTAATGAAAACTACCCTTAACACAATTCGGTCAGCTAAAGATTCTTTAAATCAAGCCAATACTTCTAGCACCTTTAATAAATCAAGTAGTTCTTTCGTAAAGTTGCCCAAAATATCCATTCCAACATTCTCAGGAAAATATGATGAATGGACAACATTTCACGATCTGTTTACCTCATTAGTACATAATAATGAATCTTTAGATAATGTACAAAGGCTTCATTACCTAAAGAGCCACCTTTCCGGTGAAGCAGAACAATTGATTCGCCACACACCTGTAACTGATGCCAATTATATTCAGTGCTGGAATCAATTACAGAAGCGTTATAACAATAAGAAATATTTAACAAATTGTATTCTTAAACGGTTGTTTAATCAAAAACGTATGCAGGTGGAATCATCTACAGCTCTGAAGGAGTTACTTGATACCACTTGTGACTGTCTTAATGCGTTGAACAATTTGGGTATTAACGTGAGCACATGGGATGTTATTATAATTCACATAGTTTCATTTAAATTGGATAATGAGACGCGTAAGCAATGGGAGCTTAGTGTTGGCAACAATGACTCCAGCAATGACTTACCAACTTTCAACCAATTTAAGGCTTTTATAGAAAATCGGTTTCGTGCGTTAGAATGTTTAGATCCTAAAAGGGTACCAGTTCACCAGAGCAACAACGTTAATAAAGCATCAATTGCTCACTCTCCGAAGGCAATGTTGACTACGAGTTCATCAATGCGATGTGAGTTTTGCTTAGAAGGACACAAATTGTGTTTCTGTAAGAAGTTCTCAAAACAGACGGTTGAAGCACGTCGTGATTTTGTGATAAAACATAAAATATGTTTCAACTGTTTAGGCGGCAATCACATGGTTTCGGAATGTAGAAAGCCCACTACATGTAAGGTTTGTCAAAGGCGCCATCATTCGCTACTGCATATTATTAGCCAGGAGTCGGACAAAAGGGATCAACCTTCGACGGCATCGACTGTTGACAGTGTTAGTTCACCTAATGCTGGCCCGATTGTCTCATGTCTGTCAATAGGTAATACTCCCAAGCCCCGACAGGTTTTATTAGCCACTGCGCTAATAAAAGCCGAGTCACGCTCTGGTGACTTTCAGATGGTCCGAGCCTTGCTCGATCAGGGTTCGCAGGCATGTTTTATTACAGAGGCCGTAGTTCAGCTGCTCAACCTGAAGAAAATCCCGATCCAAGGAACTATCTCAGGACTTGGCGGCAATAGTTCAACCAAAGCAACGTACATGGTACGTTTAAATATAAAATCGCGAGTAGATCCTGTATTCAGTCTTACGGTTAACGCTTACGTACTTACCAAAATCACGTCATACTTACCTGAATACAAAGTACACACTACTTTAGATTGGTTAAGCGTTAATACGCTACAGCTTGCAGATCCAGAGTTCAACACGCCCAATAAGATAGACGTGTTGTTGGGCGCTGATGCATACAGTTGCATTATTAAGGCAGGTATTGTTAAGAGCCCGTCCGGTACGCTGATTGCTCAAAGCACTACCTTAGGGTGGGTCCTGTCTGGCGCTGTCAGTAGGGAAAGTTCAACAAAAATTAATGTCTTGCATGCACAACTTAGTGATGACGAATTATTAAGACGATTTTGGGAAATTGAAGAGCAAAATAGTTCAAAGAAAATATTGACACCCGAGGAGAAGAAGTGCGAAGAGCTGTATAGTAAAACTACCATAAGAGACGTCAGTGGAAGATACGTAGTAAGATTACCTTTCCGCGAAGAAAATCCATCTTGTAAAGGTTGTGGCTCTCGTGCTATCGCTGAAAGGAGATTTAAATCTTTAGAAAAAAGGTTAGGAAGGGATGTAGATTTAAAGGAAAGATACAAGCAGGTAATAGAAGAGTATTTACAACTAGGACACATGAGGAAGATAGATAAAAGGGACAAGAATAGGGATGCAGCGGTATACTTACCTCACCATGCTGTCATTCGGGAGGACAAAACTACCTCGAAGGTACGTGTCGTGTTCAACGCCTCCGAAAAGAACAACAATGGAGTCTCACTCAATGACACGTTGATGGTGGGACCTACATTGCAGTCTGATTTGAGACACACAGTTTTAAGATGGAGATTTCACCCTATTGCACTGGTAGCAGACATTGTTAAAATGTACCGCCAGGTCAGGATTTCGGATGAAGATGCAATGTTTCAGCGCGTTTTATGGCGAGACAGTTCTGAAATCGAAATCGAGGACTACGAACTAGTGACTGTTACCTTTGGGACGGCATCAGCACCATACCAAGCAGTCAGAACACTTCATCAAGTAGCCTACGATGAAGGCCACAATTATACAGTTGCTGCAGATAAGATTCTCAACTGCTTCTACATGGACGACTTGATGACCGGTTGTAACGACGTCGAAGAAGGCCTGGAAATACATCGTCAAATGACAGACTTATTAGGAAAGGGTGGATTTGCGCTTCAAAAATGGAACAGTAATAATCAAGACATAGTAAACAAAATACAGGACATAGAAAGTAATATACTAAAAGGACAAATAGATCAAAACAGGACAAAGGATAACAAGGACAACACAAATAATCACAATATCATACAGGACATAAAATCAATAGAACAATATAAACCAAATAAATCAGGAAATAAACAAAACGAAGTAGAAATAAAACTTGACAGTACTATTAAAATTCTAGGACTTACCTGGAACCGCAACGCAGACTGCTTCCAGTACACGGTGAACCTCCCGATGCCCACGACCGCACCTGTAACTAAACGAGCTATTATTTCTGTGATAGCACGACTTTTCGATCCATTAGGTTGGTTAGCCCCTAGTATGATTATAGCGAAGGTCTTCATACAGAAGTTGTGGCTTGCAGGTGTTGATTGGGACCAGGAGCTAACCGATGATTTAATAAATGAATGGATACCGTATCGTGAAGAGTTGATATTACTCACCAAGGTTCGGATTCCTCGTTGGCTTGGTACAAGGTCGAACGACTATCTGGAACTTCACGGTTTTAGTGACGCCTCCAAAACAGCTTACGCAGCTGCTGTTTACTTGCGAGTTGTCGGTTCAGATGGTAACATTAATGTATCGTTGCTGGTTGCTAAAACTAGAGTCGCACCAGTAAAACAAATAAGTATTCCGCGATTGGAACTCTGTGGAGCGGTCTTGCTGTCACAACTGCTATCGCAAACAGCTGAGGTCTTGAATGTTTCTCAAGAAAGGGTCAAGGCGTGGACTGATTCCACTGTTGTGTTGGCTTGGATAAACAGCCACCCAAGCAGGTGGAAGACATTTGTGGCCAATAGAACATCTGAAATATTAACCTCAATGAAAGCGTCGCAATGGTTTCACGTCTCCACAAAGGATAATCCAGCAGACTGTGCCTCGAGAGGGATACTTCCTAGTTCAATGCCAGAAAACAATTTATGGTTTACTGGACCACCGTTTCTTAAGCTACAAAACGTAGTTTACAATAGGCCAAATCACAACAATTGTACTACAGATTTAGAAGAGTCAGCAAAGGTACATGTAGCGACAATTCCAAACGAATCGTTCTTTGATCGGTTTTCTCAGTTACGAAGATTAGTTAGGATTGTTGCATACTGTCGTAGATTTTTAAAGGAGAACAAAATATACAGAAAGGGATATTTACAAAAGACAGAATTAGACGCTGCACTCGAAAGTTGTATAAGAAAAACACAGAGAGAACTATTTACAACAGAATATGAAGAATTAAAGAACAAAGGCTATATACAATTAAAATCAAGCCCATTAAGGTCACTCTGTCCTTACCTTGATGATAAGGACATCATGAGAGTTAGAGGGAGACTGGAAAAGTCAGAGCTCAGCGAACAGATGAAACATCCTATCGTCCTGCCTCACTCCAGTCACCTAACTAAGTTAATCATAGCTGACGCTCACCATAAAACCCTCCACGGGGGTCCCCAGCTCATGACTAACTATTTGAGAACAGCCTACTGGATTATTGGGGTTAGAAATCTGGTCAAACATCATGTCATCAAATGTGTCATATGTGCCAGGCAAAGAGCCAGTACAAAAAACCAATTCATGGGCTCACTACCAGCTGTTCGTTGCAACCCAGCTCGACCATTTCTTCATAGTGGGGTTGACTATGCTGGTCCAATTAGCATAAGGACAACAAAAGGGCGTGGCCATCGGTCATACAAGGGATATATATGCCTCTTTGTATGCATGGTCACTCGAGCGCTGCACTTAGAAGCAGTGAGTGACATGAGCACTCAAGCCTTTTTAGCGGCGTTCAGACGCTTTGTTTCAAGGCGAGGCCATTGTGCCAAACTGTGGAGTGACAATGGCACTACATTCGTAGGTGCCTCCAGGGAGTTACAGCAGTTGACAGCTATTCAGTCATCAATAGCCGAACACCTCGAAACGAATGGTACAGAGTGGCATTTCATTCCTCCTCACAGTCCCAACTTTGGTGGACTTTGGGAGGCAGGAGTGAAATCTACAAAATTCCATTTGAAGCGAGTAATCGGTGAAGCGACTCTCACCTTTGAAGAACTGACGACACTCCTCAGTCAAATAGAGGCGTGTTTAAATTCGCGACCTATGAGCACAATTAACGTTGATGATCCTGGAGAACCACTACCATTAACTCCGGGACATTTTTTGATTGGAGAACCATTATTAAATGTTCCTGATACTGATTACACAAACACCAATATAAGTTATTTATCTCGCTGGCAATTAATTCAACGCATTCTTCAGTCATTTTGGAAACGTTGGTCACAAGAATATCTTGTAACGTTGATGCATCGCTACAAATGGTCATCCCAAGTTGCTGAGCCAAGGGTTGGTGACATTGTGCTTGTCAAAGAAGACGACTTACCGCCAAGTCGTTGGTTGTTAGGTAGGATCATTGAGAAACATCCTGGGGATGATAATATCACCCGTGTTGTCACGTTACGCACTAAATCCTCAACAATCAAAAGACCAACATCCAAATTATGCATTTTACCCGTAAGTCAATAAATATTTGTTATTTTCTTTTATTTTACACATGTTGCTTTTATAACAAATTAACATTTAAATTTGCAGAATCAACTTATACCAAAATTTTACTCTTTTTATTAATTTAAAACCAAATGTGCAAAATCAAATTATATATCTTTATACATTAATTGTTAAGTATATTTACGCTGTTTACATATTGTTAGTTTTAAGCTCACATTGGTTGTTTATATTTAGCTAGTTTTAAGTTCATTTTCTATGCTCTAGAATAGTTCATGTTTAGCTTTAAAATATTGTAAATACTTGTTATAATTAGTCCACAGTGCTTTCTTGCAGAACAGATCAAATTATTTAATCTTTACAGGCCAAGTACTTATGTTTATGTACGAGTATTATGTTATTGTACTAATGCAATTCAAATTATTAATAGTACTTTAGTTCATAATTAGTTCATTTTAGAAGGACGTTCCTTCAGTAACGTCCTTGGTGGGCGGTATGTTTGTAACTTAACATTTTGTAAAGCTTCCAACGTCTTCGATAGATGGCGTTGGCTTCGAATTAGAAGTCGTTAGCGTTTGGCTTCCGCAATTTGAATAGGTCTATGCGATTTATTTTCAATAAACGAGATCGAATCGGGGATCGACTCCGAGATCAGTACGCAGTTGTGGTCTTTTATTTAAAATTCCCGCTTGCTACAGTTCAGGTCAACTTAATCTCCCCCAAATACCACCCGGTAACTAAACGTTTGGCCTAGAGTGAGGTTAAAAGTTATATAATAACTTAAGCTACAACAATATTGTATGCCGCTGATTTTTTTTTCATTCATTTGATTTACGCATTGAAATATTTGTAAAATTTTACTACATAGGTGTGCATGCTTTATTGAAATAAATTTATTTGTATTTACTTTACTATTTCTTATTTAAGTGAACTTAATGGATTCTACTTTAATCAACGAAGAGTTAACCAATTAAAAGTAGATATATATGCAAAACGTACAGTTGACTTGTTTGAATGTAAAGCGGTTAGCGAATAGCATCATCGTCATTTTCATCTTAATCGATTGGAAATTAATAAGTGACCTTCTAAATGAGTGAAGTTCAGACTAGATACTTGATAGTTGGAAAGTTCCTAGGTTTGTATATGAGCCGGGGCGTTGGATTGGGGTTGGATTGTATTGTAATTATCCCCACATTACTCTGGTACTGTGTAGGCATTACACAGTACACAGAGAACGGGTAGATTCGAAAGAGTGTGTCTATGTGTAACTTCTGCATAGTGAATAACTTCTTATTATAATATATTCGTAAGTTTATTCCTTGTACAATAATCTGTCAGGAGAAATAATAATACATTCCAAACATTGGTTGATTTGCTAACAACAACTATATATTCTATATGCGTAGAATACGATTTGAATTTTAAATTAATTTAAATTATTCTGCCAACAACAACTAAATATTCTATATGCGTTGTATACGATCTGAATTTTAAATTGATTAAAATTATACTAACTCTAAAATACGTCATAAAAACAAGTTGTGTGTCACACTTTATTCATTATATATCGCAATTAAATAATTGGAGTGAAGCTAATAGAAATCCATGACCTTACGACCGTGCTTATTCGTTATTATCGCGGTATGATTTGTTGATATATCATAATTATTGTAACGTCTAAAGAGCAAAGAGCTTTTTTTTTTTTTTTTATAGAATAAGGGTGTCGAGGGATATTATAGTTCACCAGACGGTAAAATAAATGCTGCGGAACATAGACATCTATTCTACACTCGATTTAGAATCAAAGTGCAGTTACTTTGTCACCCTTCACGGCTAAGACAAAATGCTTTGTTTCTAGTAAAATTTTCTACATTCACCAGACAAACACAGTAGCATTCAGCTTTCATTTGAAAACGTGGTCCCTTTCCCGTCGAGCCGACCCATTCATGCTACAACTATATTAATATAGCTGCACCATGACTCGTCTACACATAACAACCATATTCCACATAAATTGGATGCAAACAGAGGATATACGAGTAAACAAGCCAGCTGATGATAAGAGTCAGTGACAACAGCAGTTAATGGATATCTGTTACCAACTTCATGCACAGAGAGCTACAGTTGCGCTTCACCTTTGAAGGCTAAGACTAAAGGCCTTACATACTATAAGAGTACTAGTTCTTTATACCCTTAAAACTGGAACCGCATTAGAAAGAAGCAACCTTCACCCATCGACTGCACTCCATATCTATTTATTCGTAAGTTTTTCTCTTTGGGGGCAGTCGTTGTGATATTAGTTTATAGAGTGAGAAACGTCCCATAATTTTTTTTGCGATGTCCCAACAAGTTAATATTGGATAAAGGATAATTTGCTAATAAATTTAAAAAAATTAAATCACTATTAAATTGCAAAAGAAAAGAACTATTTTACTAACAGATCGCCTTTACCAAGAATTTCTTACTCTCTTCGTCATTATTTGCTCCTTTTTGATATTTTCCAACTCCTGTTATAACTTAACATCGTTTATTCTTCTACAAAGAAACCAAGCAAGCACTCTGGATGCTTCCTTAAATTACAGGTTGACCAAATCAGTTTTGCTAGTAATTTATTTAAAAAGTTTTTTTTTTTAAAATCAGCTTTTAAAATGGCAACCACGAATAAAGGGTTAATACTTTTGTATTGGAAACTGTTAGTAAAGATATATTAATTACCAAAATATTGAAGTGTTTTACACCCAAAAACAAAAATCTAACGAAAATGTATCAAAAATAATGTAAATAAACGCTAATTAATTAGACTAATTAATTTACAACGATAAGCATATCATTGCGTTCATTATTGAAATTTGCGCATGAATAAAATACATTAAAAAGTGAAATGGTACTTTCCATAATATATACGACGCTACTTGCCATTTTGTTTTCCATTCATTGCTTGTACTCGCGTTACGTTGGTGCTCCGTAATATTTAACAGAACTTAACAAGTCGTGATTAATGGTAAAGGTTCCTTCGGATTGGTAGTGTCAATGGGCGTTCCTCAGGGCTCGATTCTTGGCCCATTCCTGTTTTTAATCTATATTAATGACACCTTATCTTGTAGGAGACAATCACGATATAGTATTATTTGCTGACGATACCTCTTTAATTTTCAAACTCAAACGGCAGTCAATTAATTATGACAATGTAAATAATGCTCTATCGAAATAAGTACTCGTACATTGGTTTAACGCCAACAATATGCTCTTAAATGACAAAAAGAAAAAGTGTATTAAATTTACAATACCTAATATAAAACATTCGAATACCAATGTGCTGCTAAATGGGGAGGAGTTGACTCTTGTGGATACCACTGTTTTTCTCGGTATTACTATTGACGCGAAACTTAAATGGGGCCCCCATATATCTAAATTAGCAAGCAGACTTAGTTCTGCAGCATATACTGTAAGAAAGATTAGAAGTCTCACAGATATTGACAGCTAGATTTGTGTATTTTAGTTACTTTCATAGCGTAATGTCTTATGGAATTTTGCTATGGGGTAATGCGACTGATATTGAAGCTATATTTGTTTTGCAAAAGAGAGCCGTTCCGGCGATTTATAACCTAAATTGTAAAGAGTCAGACAAAATTTAAAGAAATAAACATATTAACTTTGGCATCGCAATATATTTATGAAAATGTAATGTATGTACATAAAAACATAAATAGCTTTAATAATAATAAGGATGTGCATACTTTAAACACTAGAACAAGCATAAGCTTGTAATGCTAGTTACTAGACTCCACAGAATCAGTAATTCATTTATGGGGCAATGTATACGCTTTTACAACAAAATGCCAGAACATATTCAAAGTTTGTCAATAAACAAGTTTAAAAGTTTTAATTTTAAATAAAACTTTACAAAAAGGGTTACTATAATATCAAGGAATATATGAATGATAATAACCCCCGGGAATAAGGTGATTGCCACCATGCTGGTTCTATGAAAAATCATTTAAAAAATGTATAAACTAAATTATTGTCAATGTGAAATATGCTTGAAAAAAAAAGTCCCGCTGGGTTTCTTGCTGGTTCTTCCCAGAACAGAGGTATTTTCCGAACCAGTGGTAAATAAAAAGTGACTTTCAATAAGCATTATGTAATAATCAATATTGAATAAAAAATTATTCTATTCTCTTATTTTCTATTGCTTGTACTCGCGTTGCGTTGGTACTCCATAATTTTGCTTTCTGATTCTATTTCTAAATTACAATATGTAATGCTGGTAATGCAAGACACATCTCCAATAATGTATAAAAATAAATTTCCTGTTGTGTGAAATAGAATTATCTGAAAGAGACCATTCACATTTATGAAAACTGAAATGGCAACAAATTTTAATGGAGACCTTTACTATGCGGTAATGACATGGTGGTCCTAGATATGATAAAATTCACTTTTAAATTTCAATTGACCAAAAAAACAACAGTTCCAAAACTTACGCTCTACGAAATACAGAATGGCGCAATAGAACATGCATATTGCATCATCATTTTACGCGGAGTTTTGGACGCACGCAAAGGGGGAGGTTTAGTCACAGAATACTTATACATTATATATTACAGACAGTTCTAGTAGCGATGAGTCGGTTCGACGGAAAGCGTCGCGCAGTTTGCGTACACACGTTTTACGGTACGCAGACCAGCACCGCACAGAAATCCGTTATTACCAGGAGCGAAACGATAGTCGAAATGTAGGTCAAGTTGGAACTGAAAAAGCGGCATCGACAAAAACGGTAATCGGGCAGACTAGTGACAATAGGTTACATAAAGGTAGTAGGTCATCGCGATCAGCGAGGCTGAGAGCCGAAAAAGAGGCGCGGATTAAATTCGAACGCTCAGATGTCGAACGAGCAGAAGCAGCTGCTGCTGTAGCCAAGTCACAATTGGAGTTGGCACGTCTCAACCGGGAAAAGGAAATCGACTCAAGTGAGGATGATGAAGAGCGGAATACTTAGGTGGAACCTTTCGTAAGGAGTT